ACCACAGATAAGGCATTGACTAGTATTGGGGGTCTTACTGCCCTGGATGATCTTTACAATGCTGATGACAATGACTCACTAACAAATGAGAAATAGACCCAAAGAAATGTAGATAAATTTGTTTAACAAGCCATGCCACCTTCAAAAACTCCCCTAGGCCTTATGTAGAAACCCGGCAAGAACTTAGGAGTTGTTATTTTGATAACAGGACCTCAGATGCTGTAAGGTTAAGATGACATCTGTAAAAAAAAAAAAAAAAAAAAAAGTACCACTGTGTATGCAAACTCAAATCCAAATAAGCCAAAGGAAATAAATCCCACAGCCTCAACCAGCATGCAATGTGACAATGGCAGTTGAAAGAAGGTGTCTCCAAATCTAAAATAGATGGTATCAGTAAGGATGGTCTTACTGCTCATATGAGGCTTTGGGTGGACTGAAACCATAAGAGGTTCAATTTGATTGAGCTGCATGCCATGACCACTCTGTTTAAATCTGAAAGCAAGTATGCCTTGCCCTCTAATTCCTCTAGGCTCTCTGATTCCTCTATTCATTACCTTGACTTAAGCCACTTTGGGAAAGATGATTTTGAATGAGTTCTAGGTGTCCCTGGCCCCAAGGAGAACCAAGGTCATGTATATCCATTTAGGTAAGTTGGCAAATTTGGAGGAATAAAGAAACTCAAATTTATATAATTCTGTTGGAGAAAGGTGCCCAATTCATAGTCATCTGGTTTTGGAAGTGTAGGGATATCCAGAATCAGGCAATAAAACTTGAGCTAGGTACACATTGGGGAAGGAGAGGTAATATATCCTTGTGGATGGGGTTCTCTGGACCAATTCAATATATAATGTATATTAATGTGTATGCTGTGAATATACTTATAGAATCCAGAGTGGATTCTTCTAATCAGGAAGTGTTTATATAGGAAATTGCTAGTGACATATATAAGTCACATCCCAATATGTCTGCCTATCCTACTTAGAGTGGTCCAACAGAAACAATATAATCCAAGAAAACAAATGGAAATCACAGCTGTGATGAAATCTTAAGGAGTAGGTTTCAATATTAACACAACGGCCCATATGGCCAATGAGAAATGGTAATGGGAGATGGGGTTTTACAATGGATTATTACCAGTGGGATCTAATTGTTGCTGCTGTAGTCTTATAAATGACTCCATTGCACAGACTGATGACACTAGATGTGTTGTGTTGGACACGGCAAATATCTTCTTTTCTGTCCCATTGGCACCCAAGGACCAAGACCAATGTAGTAAGGCCTTCAATATGCATTTGCAGTACTTTCTATGAGTATATATGTTCTCCTGTTATCTGCCACCAGGGGTTGAGCTAGGGTAACATTAATGCCTCTACCTCCTAATGTCTGAAGTTTTCACTAAATAGATGATTTGTACATTGGCAAGTCAGAAGCCTTAGTGTCAATGACCTTGACTGCAGTGTTATTACATTTCTACCAGTAAGAGTGGCTGATAAATCCCAACGTAATTTAGAGGACTGTCAGCCAAAGTGTATCTTGGGTCTATGTGAGTTTATATCAAAACTCTCAAACCTCCAGCAGTCAAAGAAAAACTACTGTCACTTTGCTATTCCCCAAAGAGAGATCCAACAATTTATTGAACTCTTTAGATATTGGAAGCAAATGGGCATTCTACTTGGAACATTATATTGGCTAGTCCACAAATAAGCATCCTTTGAATGGGATCCAGACCAAAAGTGTGTGTTGGAAGCTATCCAATGAGCTTTGCATGCTCTCTAAATTACTGTCCTCTTTAAGCTGCAAGTCTCTCTGACTGATAATTTTGCTGTTTGGAGTATCTGGCAAAAGGAAGCATCCTACATTCAGTGATACTCTTAGAGGTTTTGGATTTGTTGCTTCTGTGACACAGTTACCAGGTATACCCCTTTTGAAAATCAGTAATCACTGAGTGAAATAGGTCAACCAGAGAAAGACAATCATCATATGGCTTCCCTCATTTGTGGAATAGAAGAAACAACACAAAGGATCATAGGAGAGGGTGGGAAAATTGAATGGGAATTAATCAGAGAGGGAAACAAACCATAAGAGACTCTTAACTAAAGGAAACAAACTGATGGTTGCTCAAGGGGAGGCAAGTGAGAGGATGGGGTAATAGGGTGATGGGCATTAAAGAGTGAATGTGATGTGATGAGCACTGGGTATTATATGCAACTAATAAATCATTTAACACTACATCTGAAACTAAAGATGTACTAAGTAAAAAAAAAAAGAGAGAGAGAGAGAGAAAAAGAGAAAAAAAAGAAAAGAAAAGAAAAGAAAAAAAGAAAAGAAAAGAAAAGAAAAGAAAAGAAAAAAAAGAAAAGAAAAGAAAAGAAAAGAAAAAAAGAAAAGAAAGCAATTCAGCAATCAGCTTGCTATGAGACACTAGCCAAAACACCTACCTTACCCTTGAAGGCTTTGTGACTTTTCAGCCTAATATTACCATCTGGAGTTGGGTTGACTTGGATTCAGTGACTAACAATGGCTAACAAGGAAGGGTTCAACAATCCTCTCTTCTCAAGTAAAAATGGTGTATTCAAGTACTGACCTGGCTGGCCACTATACCATCTTTATTTTACATGAGGAAAAAAAAAGTTGGTGATCATCTCTTTGGGGAAATCTTTATCTTCCTCTCCACCAATGAAACAAAGCTGTTGGCATAATAAGATTTTTGAGTCACAGAGGTTGCCTTAAATCCCGAGGACTGGTTCACTGTTATTTAATCTAAACTGACACTGATGGTGTCTGCTGGACTACTGCAGCTGTACAACCACAACACCAGCTATGCAGAACTGAACATGGACATGATTGTTCAATTCAGTAAGCCAATACTCTTCTTGATGAAACTCATTTTGTGTATACTGCCTCTTGAGCTGTTGCCAGTGGTCTAGACTATTTATTCTGACACCTGGTAAACTAAAGACTGGCAGATTAGAAACACTTCCCTTTAACACTGCCAACTTGGAAAAAAAATGCTGCCTCTTAAACCATCTGGGCCAATCATGGAGATGCCTCCAGTGAACAGTCAGGGCCTGTTCTTCGATGAGACTAAGTGGAGTCAGTCCACTGGACTTACTTTCTACTAGATATGGCAACATATCCATCACCATAGATTGAGTGAAAAGTAAAGGACCATAGGTTTAAAATAGGCAGTCCATCACTGCACACCAGATACATGAATCTTACCATAAGTGGATGTTTTTCCTATGGTAGGAGAAAACACATCACATTGGAGATTGCACTCACCTACGCTTAGCATATTGACTAAACCAAACTGTGGACCCCTTTCAGGGGTATCAGCATTGCCTCACAGCTCTTGACGTTTTTCAGATTACCGTGTTGCTATTCCATCTCTGATCAGCATAGTCTGACACACCACTGTGGCTCTTTAAGCTTGTCTATGTCATGTGTTCAGCTTTATGGACAATTTACAGCCAAACATCTTTTATCTAAAAGTCACATGACAATGAGCTAATGATCAAGTTACTCAATTGACTCTCTATGACCATAGGCATTTGATATTGTAGAGAATTGGAATAGCCTCAAAAATTGACCCGAAAAGGTTTCTGGCTCTACTTTCCTCAACTCTTCTTCATCAATCAGTTTGACCACTAAATGAAGCTTTTCGAAATTTTGGGAATCTGCCCTGACCATTATTGAGCATGGGAGCATAGTGCTTATTATTTTTCCCAATATCAACTCCAGGGTGGCTTGGTTTGTACAACTTGAATTTAATTCTTATTCAAGTACCTGGATTCTCTTAGAAGTGTGGCATAGTTACGTGAAAAAGATAATGATCACTTAGCTGAGTACACTGCTTGCTAAGTTCCCCTATGGTAGTCCACACTGGCCAAAGTGAGGGGAAAAACAAAGCATTATAAGTTTAGTTAAATTGCTTTTGTAACTTTTGCACCTATCCCTTCTAAATGAAAACTTGGAGTATAAGTAGGGGGTGATTGAGAAAATGTAGAGTTATAACAATTGTAATGGGACACAAATATTTTATGGGACTGGAGGAAGAGCAACAAGGTGGCATCTGCAGAAGGTTCATCTTAGACCTTGGGAGACATGGATGACAAAAGGACATGAATATTTCTTTTTTTTTTTTTTCCTTTAGACCACCCCTGGAGCCTTCTTCAGAAAAAATCCTCTGTGTGTCTCTCCCAAATTATCAAGCACTTAAATTTAACTGATTTCTGGATCATAACTTCCCACAAGGCTGCTCTTATCACCATTTGATAGCCATTCATCTTAAAATTACCAAAAGAGAAAGTGATAACTCTAGTCCTTACACTTCCCAGTACAAATCTTGTAAGCATCTTTAGTTATCTGTTTCATCCACATTCCCACTTATGTAGCATAGTGATTTCTGGGATTGGATGAAGGTTATCTGGCTGATGGTTTGGACCAGACAGAATGGACTCTAGTCCCTACACTTCCCAGTACAAATCCTCCCCTCACCCCGGTACAAATACTGTAGACATCCTCAAACATTACCTTCAAAAACAACCACTAGACTCAATTATAGAAACTGAAGACCTACCAGATGGCAAGGAGACCACACTAGAGCGATGTCACCTTGTGCTCTTGCATGATGTAGATTCCACTTCAGGAGCTCCACTCACTGTAAACAGCTCTCTTTTTTAGGAATACCAAGTGTACTCTTGGGAGCAGGTCTTGTGTGGAAGCCAAGTATTGGCTTATTTCTCTCCCCCAAAATGATGATTGTCCTCTTAGGAGTAATCATAAGAGATCTCCAAGGTTTTAAGGGAACTCCCCCAGGAGATACTGTAGCCCTGAATACAGTTCTCTCCAAACTGAGCTACACTTAGTTGCTTGGGGAATCTCCCCAGAGAGGTAGTTGATTTGTTACTTACACCAACTTCATAGTTGGTTTTCCCTACAATATGATTCATTGTAAGGAAAATTAGAATTAGAAAATTCTATTAGAAAAGGTGATACAAGTGCTCGCTTCAGCACATACAGTAAAATTGGAATGATACAAAGATTAACATGGACCCTGTGCAAGGATGGCATACAAATTCACGAAGAAAAGGTGATATAAAATTTGTCTTTGATATTAGTTGAGGTGATCAAAGATACAAACTCAATCCTAGAATGCATTCAGGTTAGCATTAACTCAGTGGCCAGACTTGTTATAGATGCTATTGGCCATAGATTTTCTACTTGCAGGGCAAGGTAGAGTCTGTGTGATTTCTAAAATATCCAGCTATACCTGGATTAATGCCTTGAGCCAAGTGGAAAGGTCAATGTGGAAGCTTTAGGAGAAATACACCTGGATTTCTAAGGTAGATCCAGATGGTTTATGAGATTTGCTTAGTTGATTGGGTCTGGGACACTTGATGTTAATACTGAATATTGCCTCATCCTGCTGCTCAGAGTCCTATTGATAGTAACCTTCATTAAATGTAGTATGAGACAAATTTAACAGATTTAGTCTTAATCTCTATGAGCCATATTGATCAATGTGCCTGACAGAGTGGCATACTCATAGGAAATTTTTCCAGAAATCAAAACAGTGTTGAATCAAGGAGTAATTACAGTTAGAAGACAATTCTCCATGGGTACTGCATGTTTATTGTTCAGATATTGTTTCCCTTTGTGGCAAAGATCAGTCAGGTTTACTGTCCATTATAAAACGTTCATTTTTCCTACAGTTGGAATACTACTCCTATAATATAAACCACAATGTGTGAGCAGACACTTGGCCCACATAACATTGCCCTGAGGGACATCAGCATAAAATGCTGGTACTCTGACTACTACTATTGCTGTGAGTAATAAAGTTCTTTGTTCCTGATTCAGGAGTCTCATGTCTTCTGCCAGCACTCATGAAGCTATAGCAAGCTAACTTGGCACATAGGTAGGGTAAAGTCTCAGATCTTACTAAGTTCTTGACATCTTTATGACTAAGGCATACTAATTATGATTTCAGTTACATTAAGGAGAGTAGACTTTAGTCTACAGATCTTGTAACTAACATTTTTAAAGGATACCAGACTTTAAAATATTAAGTGAATAAATTACTGTGGTTATATAGAAGGTTATTCCTATATCCTGAGGGGAACTCTGGTTTCCACTAAGGGGGATTTATTTTAATATTTTGGAGAAACTGATGAAAAATATAGAAAATGCCCAAACGACATAAATTGTGCTTTGGCATTTGCAGATAGTTTGAAATTTATGGATCTTTTTAAAAAGGAGGTTCCACACTCATTGTGGAGCCCAACACTGGGCTTGAGCTCATGACCCTTAGATCAAGATCTGAGCTGAGATCAAGAGCCAGATGCTCAACCAACTGAGCCACCCTGGTGCCCCAGAAGTTTATGGATTTTTTATATTGAGAACCCTTGCTCTAAGAGAACCTATTCTTTGGGAGTAGAAGATTAGTATGCTTCTCCTAGACCAAACTTCTGGCATCTCCTCAAAATAACCCAAATACATTACAGTATCTTCTCACTGAGTTCTAGAAAGTGTAATATATTCATAATTAGAACACTAGAATGCTTGAAAATCTATTGCTTAAAGATCTAATATATCATATATCTGGAGTCATATGACTTAGATATATTCCAAGAAATAAAAAAGCATTACCCATTTGGATATATATATATATATTCCTCTTTCTATATATATTCCTATATATATATATTCCTCATATACATATATATTCCTATATATATATATATATATATATGTATATATATTCCTCTAGCATAAGTTGTTTAACAAAACATAGCAAAGAATGGTTGGTCAGACCTTAAGGAAATATCTTTCTATAATGCCTTATTACAGAAAAATGGATCAACACTTGTAATGATAAAGTTCCCTTCTGAAATGCATGTGGAAAAGACATACTTGGGAAAAACATTCAAAATTTTCTTTGCTAGTATTAGAAAAAGGTACTGAGGGTAAGGAAAGGTTATTAGCTTGCTATTACTCAATCCCTGCTGAGCACAGTAGAACATAAAATAGGAATAAAGAAAGGAAGTCAGCTCTCCAATCCCAGCTGCAGGCTGATGAATCAGCTAGTGATTAATTGTTGTTACTAGTAATTGAAATAATCATATTTCAGAGAGATGGGGAAGAAAGCATTTGGTCTCTAAAATGCTTTTGCCTCAAAATGTAATTGCAGCAATATTATTGGATGTCTTAAAAGGAGATATAAAGTTCTTAATGTAAAACTAAAAGGAATATGATTCCCAAGATTGACCCAACATCTGGCATTAGGTTTTGAAAACCCTCCTCTGACTCAGTCCCTTTACACCAGCCCTCTTATTTTCTTATATACATTTCTTTTAAGTTTGCTTTATACAGAAGACAACATAGTGCACAATGCAAAACAATAACAAACTAATATACATTGCCTTAATTTCAGTAAAGCCAGTAAGTTCACATTTACTCCCTCTCCCAAAATTGTGCTTATATTTTTAAAGTAATGTTAATGTGTTAATCAGCGGGCTTAACATGTTTCAAATTCTAAATGTGTATGGCCCTAAGCCAAGGATTTGGGGAGTCACTGCCTTCAAGTAGTTTACTCTCTAATTGTGAAGATATAGTATGTATGTAAAATGTTGCCAATCAAAATGGTGCACAGGAGTACTATAGAAAGATTTCATGAAGATATAAATTTGCATTTAGTGAGTACTTAACATATTTAGGTCCTCCAGAATTTTTGTTTTCCTCAAAACTAATCTGCAAAATCACCCTGAGATGAAAGTATCATACCAATTTGAAATTATGAATAAATAGGATCAGAAGGATTAAGTCATTCCTTCAATTCCACAAGAAATGCAGAACCAAAATAATGCAGAACCAATTTTCATATGTGCTTCTGGTTCTATCTGATGCAAAAAGAAGAGAGGGAAATAACTCCAAATTTTAAGTCCTTGATGATAATAAAAGGCTAAGGTAATAGCATTATGCAATACAAGAATTATGAGAGGAAAAAACTGGCATGGAAGGAAAAATGAGTTTTTTGTAACAGATTATTTCTGAAGTGATACTAGGCCACATAAGGAGAAATGCCCAATAAACAGATAGAGATAAATGATTCTAGTTTTAAAAAAGAGAAATCAGGATTAGAAATGTAGGTATGGTACTCAACAGTGTTTCAATGACATACTGAGAAAAAATAGTAATAAATGATCAACCATAAATTATGCAGGCAACTCTTCAGATTAAAAAATGGAATCCATTTCTTCTCCCCTTGAAACTGGGTTCGGTTTTGGACTTGACCAATAGAATGCGGTAGTGATGCTGTACTAGTTCAGGGTGTAGGCTTTAGGAGATATGGCATTCTTTTGCTATCCTGAGGCTCCTGGTAAAGAAGCCCGGGATGTCCATCTGCAGAAAGGAGCCATGTGAAGAGAGGAGCCACAGCCAATAGCACAGCAGTATGGCCCCTGACAACTGAGTGAGGCCATTCTTGATCCTCTAACCCAGCTACCACCTGAATAAGTAAGCCATGTTAACACAAAAGAGCAGAGATTAATCATCTCTGATGGGCCCTGCTTAAATTCCTGAACCACAGAATCGTAATTAATAAGCATGTTACATTTTATCCATTTAGTGTTAGGGGAATGTGCTGTACTGCACAGTACTGCTAAAACCCAGAAGGAGACTAACAAGTCATTAAACAAATATTTGCTTTTTCTTCGTGTCACACAATGAATTATTTTATTAAGAAACATAAAGATGATCGGTGCCTGGGTGGCTCAGACAGTTAGGCATTTGCTCAGGTCATGATGTCAGGGTCAGGTGGATCCCTGCTCAACAGGGAGCCTGCTTCTCCCTCTCCTTCTGCCCTGCTCCTGCCACTGCTCATTCTCTCTCTCTCTCTCTCAAAGAAATAAAATATTTTTTTTAAAAAAGTAAAAAGAAATATAAAACAGAGCTTTACAGGGTAGAGAGTTATTAAGGAGTTGGTAGAGAAATATTTGCATTGGGTAGTCATAGAAGGCTTCCTGGGGAGGTGACCTTTGAGTAGATTAGGAAGTCAGTGATTCAAATGGATAACAACGATGGACATGAATATCAGAGAACACTTAATTACCAAATGTTTGATAATATGTTATGAGTGACACATTCAAAACCAAATTAACCATCCCACTTGTATTGGCATCATTATAGAGGGCCCTTCCCACCATCTCTTCTTTTGTCTACATAACCATTTATCCTTAAAAATCAATTCAGAAGCCATCTTTTTTAGAAAGACCTCCCTAACATCTTTCATCTGACCTAGTATTCTCTTCTATGTCATCATAGCCACCTGTATTTTCTTGTGTGAGAGTATCAAATACATGATGTGACTTTTTTTTCTTAAACCCGAACCTCACACCATTAACCTTAAAACTCGTTTTGACCTTAGAAACCTCACAGTATGCATCTTGCTGGGGAAAGGGCATGGCTTTCTTGCCTTTAGTTACATTGTGCCCTCTATCTTTTCTTTTGTTCTTCTATTTTATCTCCCATTGGATCCCAGTTTAAGCATATCACCAAAATTTAGATTAAATCAAGAAAAAAGTTTTTGACCAATGGCTGCCTAATCTGTCACTGAAAAGTAGCAACAAAGCAAAGCTTTTATCAGCCAGAAAATGTACTGTGCTTCCTTTGGGAAGGCAAACAAGACAGCAGATATAGAAGCCTCTCTCAAAGGAGGAAAAAAAGAAACTGAAGGATTTTAAGAGTAACACCTGTCAAATGGAGCAGTAATGTGTACTGTTTGACAAAATAGGCTGGTGACTGTCAAAATAAATAATAAACCTTCCAGCTCTGACTAATGCCTGAGCTATACTGGAAGACTTGAGGGAAGCATCCAACAAAATGCAAAATTGAAAGAAAAATTGGAATGGTCGGCACAGCCTCCTAGCAGCTAAATTTGAAATAATTTTGGAAAAACTCAAACCATTCACTGGGTTTCGTGGCAGAGGGGAAAGTTCCAACAACTCTTCTGATTGAGCATTCCGCTTTCGCTAGGAAATCACTTCTCTTCTGATGGAGTGCCAAGAAGTTGGTCTCTGCTTTTTCAATACAGAAACAATCCTGCCGT